CTAATATAAGTTTTAATAATCAATATTGATAACATCAGATATTTTGATAATATACATTGCGTTATGAAAATTTTAAATGTCTACAACTATTGTCAAACTTTCACAAAATAAATCTCCATTTCTTTTTTTAAAATTTTGATTGACTTATAGTCAATATGAAATTTTGTCTATTTCCAAAATTAGCAAAAATATTGTAGAAACATACCGTATGTAGAAAAGTGCAAAAAGTTAAAATCAAATTTTGTTCAGAATAAATTACAGTGTACCACTATATGTGACCACACTGTTCACAGCTGCATTCTCCTACAAGGTAATTCCAAAGATCATAGCACTATAATATTGTAGATCGTGACAAGACTAATAACCAAGTCACTCATTCCCATTAGATGCCCACAGGGGATATCATTATTTATGTGTTACAAAGTAAATTCACAGTGAGTGATTGCATTCACGTAATCTTACACTAACGTCATTTTTACTTTACAGATTTCAATAGAATCTGAATCCTGGTAATTAATTTACTTTAGTTAAAGTGGGTTTTCAATGTAAACCACAATTTATGTTGATACATAAATGTACTTTAAAGTAACATTATTTTTCACCAATTTGTTCATAATTTTTAATACAAAATTATTTGTGAGATGCCAAACGAGAAAGCATGTGAGATTATGTTATATCACATATAATATATGATATTATTGCATCTGAATATCGTACTTGCTCTTTTAGAAGTGCATCTCCAATAGAAGCAATTGTTGCATTCTAAATCATAAAAATATTACTTATTTTGACCACAGACACATGTATGATATAATTGATATAATTTTATTAATTGTATAATGGCCTCCGGCCCATTACAATCATGCAAATTAATTATTGACAAGAACTAAATTTACATTACAAAATATGTATAAAAATATAGATGAAGAGTGTGACACACAGACACATGTAACTCTTTACAAAAGCATTATATATTGAATATAAACTCAATACAATAAAGCGTGGTGGTCGTCGTGCAGCGCGTGTTCGAATTTCATGTAAATAAACAATGTATTTAACATGCGTTGTATACGTAGCTATGATCCCATATCGAACAGGACGCGACGGACGACTGCCGCCCTTTAAGTCAAATACAGAGAAAAGCAGAAAGCTGTAGCTTAGTTTATAAACATTTTTATAAAAAATTGTAAATATCATTTTCATTCAAATTAAAATATTCACTAGTGATTGGCTCAAAAAGCTCCACATTGTCTATACCCATAATGCAATGCACATGCCTCCATGTGACATATAGCAACTACAACTGCTCACTTATTCAAAATCTAGTGCTTTCTGATTGGATGATTTTGAACTCATTAATACTGAGATGGTTTTCACAATACCAGCTGCTATGTAAACAATAATAGAAAATAAACCAGGGTATAGTTTTTAAGATGCCAATTCCCACATGATTAAACTTTTAAATGTGGTGTCAAACCGATAAAGTGCATTAAAATTTTGTTTTGAAATGCAGATGTTTGGGAAATGTATTTGTTTATACAGAACTCATTACATATAGTTGGCTTACTAAGACGTGTTCAATATTCTTTTTCTTCCAGGGGTGCTACATCAGTGGTATTCAGATGTGAACAAAAAGGAACAGACAAACCATTCGCCGTTAAAACATTACACAAAAATGTAAGTCTTAAATATATTCATACTGAGAAATTGATGAAAGTTACTAGTATTTAGTGATATACATAAATATAACAGTGATATATATAACAAACTTTTAAAGTTTGCTGAAAACAATTATAGAAAAAAAGAAAGTTTAGAAACGTTTGAAAAATGAGGACAGGGAAATTGCTGGCATTGCTTCGTTAAATTTTTCACCGACAGAAAATTGTTGATACTTTTTCTATTCAGGTAGACAAAAAGATTATACGAACTGAAATTGGAGTACTATTAAAACTGAAACATCCAAACGTGGTAAGTATACATGGTGTGTTTGATGCTTGTAAGCGCGACTGAAAGTATGTGCAATGCACTATGGGAGAAAACTTTCCATTAAATACAATAACAAAACATCACACTGAAAACTTACTGTTAAAGGGCAGTAGTCGTCGCGCCACGCATGCGCGAGATATGGGAATCATATAAACAATGACTAACGATTACAAACTGAGACGTTACCAAGCTTTAATTACATAATATTTTCGGTGATTGGATGAAATCTAAGGAATCACCAGCGTAATTATTGCATGTTGTACCTAGGTCAAAACTCGTAGTTGTGATTTTCATTAGAAGAATGCATTGGATCATGGAAAAATCTTTAGTTCATGCAAGATCTTCTTCGCATATCACACGCTTGTATACCCTCATCCTTAGTTTTATCTTAGAATTCATTGTTAAATAGATCTAAGAAGAACAAAGCTCATGCTAATTTTAATAATTTATAACAAATATTATTTTTTTTATAATATACAACATGAAAAGACTGTGTTTTCACATACATGTATTTGTGAAAACAGAAATATGATAGACAAAAATATTCCCAAAACATAAAATATTCAGTATATGTTGTACCAGTACCTTAAGGCAGGATTTGTAGTCTTTCTATCTCATTTATTTTTTATAGAATTTTCAAGTAACAACTGATACTTGATTATGCGCATTTTTTATTAGTAGCCAATATAGAATTGATATATTTTAAAATTTCATATGCTAGAGACCACCAAAATCACACAACATGACCAAATCACAAAGCTTTGTAAAATAACATATCAATAACAACCTGGAAAACAACTTACAAGAAATTTGTTCTGGTGGAAGGCGTGCCAATGACGAATAACGTCATGTGAATCATGCTGAGCATGTACTGTTGCCTCTTTTCTTATGTGCATAGCAAGTTGCAGTCGCAATTTTTTTCAGCTCTAAAAATCAGCTGTCAAATCTGTGTTGTCAAGTAAATAGGCGGAAGCGATGATTGGTTGAAAGAAAAAATAGACAATTCCGATAAGTCTTGAAGCAAAACCAGATTTAAACCTGGATTAAAACTTACCATCCCTCCTACCCTCCTACTTAAAGCGAGAAGGTCGTCACCTGCGCACGTGCGGGAATTGAGTCCCAAGCGACAATAACAACATACTCTAAAAACGCAAAGGCTCATGGGTAGACGCTTGTTTGTAAACAATGACACGCTATGGCCATCTGGGTCATGTGACGACTCCCCTGCTTTAAACACTAACCATAGCCAATTGGTCCGGGGAATGTGTAAGTCTTAATAATAAAATTATAAATTAAAAAAATTATAAACCTTCCATGGTTTGATGGCCTTTGAATAATTAAGTCAACTGTGCATAATAATTGATAATTTTTTCAGAAGTTTTAATTATTTCTCTCATTGCTAATAATTAGGAATTGGAATTATATTTTTCAGATTCAGCTTAAAGAAATATTTGAAACGCCGCTTCATCTTGATCTAGTTTTGGAACTTGTAACTGGAGGAGAATTATTTGATAGAATTGTTGCCCGGGGTTACTACAGTGAACGTGATGCTGCGTCAAGCATTAGACAGATATGTGAGGCAGTAGGAGTAAGTTTTTACAATATACTTCAAATTAGACCATAATTTTTATGGCGTTGCTTCAATTTGTACCACTATTTGTTTAAGTTAGATATTTGTCTAAGTTAAACAAAGTGGGTCTTACGACCAGCCATTTGACCTCCCTGGAATTAAAAATAATTGTATCACCCACCAGGTGTATGGCCCCACTGGGGATTATGGGTAATACCTGTAAAAAATTCGTGAAAAATAAATATAAATTGCGCAAAAGAAGGGTGAATGCGAAAGTCCTGTGATCGTGAATTCCTAATTGTTGGAATTCCACGGTCACCTCTCGTAATTTATATTTATTTATTAAGAATTTTTCATCGAAATCGCAAGTCTACATTCAGACTTAATTTTCACACCATGGATACGAGAATTTGACTATAACTGCCCACGTTTATTCATAGACTATCATCCTTGCGTTCGTCCAGGCTATAAATCTGGGTCGTCCCACCCTGTACTGGACAAGGTTTAAAATGACGTAATCCATAATTCTAATACTTCTTGTATATATCGAGTCTCTTAAAGTCTAATCATGATAAATACAGTGAATTTTCAATATCAATCCAGGCATATGTGCTTGATCAATTCAAGTATATCAATATGATGTTGCCATTGTTTCTGGCAGTATTCACACAATATAGTGTTTTTTTTTTATTTCCTTTTTTCCTCACAATGGTATTTATTGATTTTTTTCTTTCAGTATTTACACGAAAATGATATCGTTCACAGAGACTTGAAACCTGAAAACTTACTCTATCAAGACACATCTGAAGATGCATTACTAAAAATAGCCGACTTTGGTCTATCAAAGATAATGAGTGACAGCGTAACAATGCAGACAGTCTGTGGTACCCCTGGATACTGTGGTAAGTCAGTTACTATGGTGATGAATGAACCTGTAATTGTAGATATTTGCAATCAGTTTGTTTTCTTGCCAGAGCTGTGAGCAAGAAAACTTATGTTGTATTTCTTACTGTTAATTCATATTTATGACAAAACACAGATAGGTACATGAAAAACAAGTCATTGTCAATGACACGTCCCCGTTCCGTTCATATTTGAGTGACATATACATTCAAAGCAGATCATGACCGAAATGCACCTGCATATGTACAAC